GCTGGTTGTGACACAGCGTTTCGGCTGGTTGTGACACAGTGTTTCGGCTGGATGTGACACAGCGTTTCGGCCGGCTGTGACAGTTTTTCGGCCGGTTGTGACACAGCGTTTCGGCCGGCTGTGACACAGTTTTTCGGCTGGTTGTGACACAGCGTTTCAGCTGGTTGTGACACAGCGTTTCGGCTGGTTGTGACACAACGTTTCGGCTGGATGTGACACAGTTTTTCGGCTGGTTGTGACACAACGTTTCGGCTGGATGTGACACAGCATTTCGGCTGGTTGTGACACAACGTTTCGGCTGGATGTGACACAGTTTTTCGGCTGGTTGTGACACAACGTTTCGGCTGGATGTGACACAGCGTTTCGGCTGGTTGTGACAGCGTTTCGGTGTGTTGCTCACCTGTTTCAGCTTGTCATCGGTGAGACAGTTGAGTTCGATGATGAACTCGCTGTCGGTGGGGGAGATCTGAGCGCAGGGGTCGATGATCTTGATGATGTCCAGCTGTTCTCTCAGACCCATCTCTGTGCTGACCTTTCGGCTCAGGTACTCGATGTACTCCACCTGTTGGTCCAAACAAAGCTTCTATCTCTGCTCCAACAGACCCAACAACATCTGGAGCTTCTCAGATGTTTCTGGATCAACGTACCTGCTCATCATTTGTCATGGCGCTCCAAGGCAGCTCATCCAGGTTGCGATGGGGGTGGGGCTTCAGCTTCCTCTTGGAAAACAAACATGGTGAACTCGGCACACTGGGGATTATGTCAGAGAGGACATCGCTGCCACTGGCGATGTCACTTCCTGGCAACTGGAAGAAGAAAAACCAATGAGATGTGAAATCACAAACACACAAACAGATGAAAAACAAACATTTTAACACAACAGAAACAGGTCAGAACCCGGCGCATCCGATACTCACCTGCCACTCAAACTCGCTGTCGGACCAGTCCCAGTACGTGCTGATGGAGGAGGAGACGTCACTGCAAACACTGCCCTCAGGAAACAAATCCAGAGATGTCAGTTCCTGGTCGTCCAGGAGGGAGTAACAGTCATCCTGGTCCCCGACAGAGACGGAGGAGAAGAGCTCCTCGCTGCACTCAGAGCTGGCTACACTGGTTCCACAGGATGTCAGGTTCCACCTGCACAGAACCGGGACAGCAGTTCAGATACATCAGATCAGGTTCTGAGGACTGGACTGTCAGTAGCTGCGTTTCCATTCACCATGAAAATGAGCAAATTAGAATTTTGAAAATAAATTTGCTCAATGGAAACACGTCAGTTCAAAAAAAATTACGTTTTTCGACTAAATGTTTTTGCACTAGGATGAGGTGGTTTTTCAGCCATATCGAAATTGGTGTTTTTCACAAAACTGCAGTGGAAACACTTTTTTCACATCACAGGAGTCACGTGATCAACAACCGGCTGTTTCTACTGGTGAAAAAGACGAAGAAGACAACAGGAAGTAGAAGTAGTAGTAATATCACAGAAGTAGTATAAAATAGTAAACTCAGCGACTACAATTTCCCAAAAACACAGCATACGTAGCCGCTCCCAAGTAGGGACTTGTCTCTGGAAAACCTCGATAAAAGACGCCGACGTCTCCTCTGATGATGAGCGCTAGTGTCGTGGTAGCAACATGCTATGTGTTTACATCCATCGCCGCCATGTTTGTAATGACTTATCATGAGAACAAACGTATTCACGCGTGACTTTAATAACATTTCTTACTTAACGGAAACACTGCAGTTGTGAAACTGTGTTTTTTCAACATTAACAGAATATCAACAAAGTTTTGTGCACATTTGCAATGGAAACACAGCTACTGTGTCAGGGTCAGATACTGCTGCTTCTTTAACCCAACAATCACTTGGCTCTGTTGCAGTGTTTGACCTTAGGAAACTACTGGTGGCTGAGCCGGAGAATCTCAGGCCAACACAAAATAAAATCAGCTCACTGAGCTCTTTTACAACGGGATTTTATTTAATAGAAGAAAATCTCTGACTTTGTCCACTAAATGTAAACAGAAGAGTGGAAACTTCAGTTGTCTGAAGTCAACAGGTACGGCAGGACGGGAAGACTTGGGTCTGATTGTTTGCTGTGAAAGACCAATCTCTAAAAGCTGCTGACACAGGACAGTTATTTACAGCATCTAAAGCAGTGATCCCCAAAGTACGGCCTGCAGGCCAAATCCGGCCCGCCTCCCCATTTGGTCCGGCCCCCAGAACAATACCAGAGAGTATTTAGGTTTTTTTTTTCATATAAGTGGTTAGCGTTAGCCCCGACGCTATCGCCATACATATGTATTAGCTCAGTGCTACACATTCTCCTCTCATCACTGAGGTCCTCCATCCACATGACAGAGAGGGGAACACAAAAATGACTCAGCTGTAACTGAAAATATGGATGGAGGACCTCAGTTTAGCTTGTGGCGCTAGCACCAAGCTAATACATATAAGACAATATAGCGTCAGCGCTAAAGCTAACAGGCTAATCTGAGGTTGTTCTTCCATGAAGCAGCTCTGTTGTCCTCCATCCATATTTTCAGTTCCAGGCTGAGTCATTTCTACCTTCTCCTCTCTGTCAACGCTCTCTGGTTTCATTTAAAAGAGTCGATCATCAGATATTGTCCAAGATTAACCTTCAGGGTGGATATAGCTCGCTAGCAGCCTCGCACCGAGGACCTATCCATGTCATCATTTACCCAGAATGCTTTGTGTGTAGATAAAATGGCTTCGTCCGTGTTAAAATATATTTTTAAAAATTTACAAAACTAAACAGCCTACAGTATTTTTACAGCCTTTATTTTACAGTTAAAATAAATGTTTATCAAATAAAGTCGAACGTTACAACTAATCATGGATCCCTTTAATTTGACAAGATAACATTTCCAAACAGGTCTAGTGTGGTCCTGATGAAACGAATGTGCTGAAAACAGCTTTTAGTGAAGTTTCACAAATCACAAACTTGATTTTAAATATTCTGCTATGAGTACAGAATAATCCAGTCCAGGTTTGACGTGTCTAAGTATTTTAGTTTTTAAACTAGAGCAGATTAAAGATGCTCAAGGTAGTGAAAAATTAGGTGGAATCGCCCTTTAGCCATTTCCTGAAGCTTCAGCTTGGCGCCTCAGTAATGATAAACCGATAGTGCCGGGGGGTGGGGTGTTTTAAGTTTAAAAAAGCTAACATACAGTCCTGTGTCAACAACTCTCTCTCTCACACACACACACACACACACACACACACACACACACCTGTTACTGTGGAATCGATGCAGCGGATCCGTCCTGTGACACGAGGACAGCTGACAGCTGAAGACACTGGCGTCCAGCGTCCCAACGTCACTGAGGTTGGCTCTTTGGGAGAGGAGAGGAAAAGGCTCCTCTGGGGCCAAAAACTTCTCATACAGAGATTCAGACATGGTGGCTTTTACCTGATGTAGAAAAACAACAACAACAACAACAATAACAACGAGGTAAACATGGAGAAAAGAATGTTTCAAATCATAAAAACTCTGCGAACCGCTGATTCAGCAGATTATAATGCTCATTTATATATAATTACATTCACGAGTTTATTCAGTTTGATCAATTTAAATTATTATTTATTAAAAACAATATAAATAAAATATATTACACAATTTTTAACATATTTTATAAACAGAAGCAAAACAAATCCTCTAAAGAACAGAAAACTTACGTTTACACATAAACCCAAACACATAAATCTTAATCATTTAATATTTTTCACTGAACCCAAGTTGTGAAATATATTTAAATTAAGCATCTTTGGTAAAAGTAAATAAAAAGTTTATTTTGATTGAGCAAACACGATTACAATTATTTTTCCACAGGAATATTTTCGACCATTGTTTTCATAAAGCCACTAACACGTGTTAATTAAAATTAGTAAGGTTTAAGAGCAATGACTACTGAGATAATCAGATATTTGAGTCAGAAGATTCATAATAATTGAGCCAGATTTCTAAATTATAAATAGTCTTTACTGATAACACAAGCTAACAACGTTAGCTACTTGCTAACGGGGGTAAAATCACTACGTAGCGTTCAGAAAAACACTAAACTAAAGATAACTAATTCCATCACATTAAAATATTATATCTAAACTGATAGAAAACCCAGTTCTATTAGGATTAGAGTGATTTCAAACCTAATACACCAACCTTTGGCCGTTCAAATAACAATCATTTCTTCTGACGCCATTTGCAAATCACGTTTTTTGATGCTGGAGCTTTTAATTATCGCGAGACTTCACAGCGAGACCGGAGAACACGTGACACAGAGGCGGAAGTTGAACTGTCTGGCAGAAAAGATAACATTTACTGGATTTCTGGACTTACATTTCTCCTCTTTTCCCAGGGTAGCCCTTCTTTAGCTGGATATTAGCATACAGGAGGCATGTCTGCGAGTCATGCCAAAGATTCAAGCTTTTTGGGTGGAAGAATCCCTCCAGAAATCGAGTCAATGACGAGAAACTTGAAGGATGTGGATCAAGAGTTGTTCAGAAAACTGCTAAAAGGTAAGACGGAGTGCTCTCAAATATAACAGAATTGCAGTTATCATATAAAATAGCTTGGTATTTGGTGTTATGTGGGCTGGGTGCAATTTACAAGCTCAGTTATTAAAGTTTATGAGGAAAAAGGCATGGAAAACTATTCTCCTTTAGTGATAAAAGACAATTGCACCATGTCAATAAAAAGCTCAAGCAGCTGACAGCTTCTTGGATCACGTGTGTGTCCAGCTGTGGTCGGTGCTCTGGAGGGGAAGGACTGCAGAGAAGTCCTGAGGTCGGTCGCAGAGACCAGCGTGGTCCCGCAGGAGAGGCTGAGCCACATCATAGCAGGGATGCACAGAGTCCTGTCCGAGGCCATCCGCATCCCTCCATCTTTACTCAAACAGGAGGTGAGCTGGCAGCTGCTGCACACAACCACAAACTGAAGGCTTGTCTCAGGACTCACTGTTCCAGCTGTCAGGGTCACAACCTCCCTCCTGAGTTTACAACAGTCAAAAATAATCTGCGAGAACCTCTTTCAAATGTTTGATCAGTGACCCAGCTGAGTGTTAAAGGTAAAAACTAGGAGGTTCACAACTCATTACATCATATTTTTAGTGATTGGTGAATTAAAATGTATCCAATGCAAAAGATAAGCTTTAAAAAATCTTTTTAAAGTTTCCGCCGTGTTTTATTTATTAATCAGAACAGAAGCAACATATTGACCAGCAGCTTGTAGAACCTCTTCATCATCCGCCTGCTCTTGGCATAGGTGAACTAGGCGGTCGCCTAGAGCACCATCTGCTGGAGGGGGCGTCGAACTGCAAAAGAAAAAAAAGTAATTATTTGTAATCCCTGGTTGTAACTCTGCTCAGCCCCCCTTTCAATTAGCTTTGTCTTAAAAAAACTATAATGAAGTATTACAGGAAAAATAAACTACTCGACCCATAAAACATCCCCCCCCCCCCCCCACCCGACTCGTCCTGCTCCGACACTCTGAGGGGAGGGGCTAGTAGTGCCTCTCAGGTAGCGGTTCGTGTTGACAAACTCAATAACAACAAGTCTGTATTTTRTTGTCCCATACATGTCAAMCTCTTCGGACGTTTACCTGGATAAAAAGCCTCAAAAATTCGTAAATTTTGCAAAAAAATCCAAACAACTCGCACTCGCGTTGGGGGTGTTATCAGCCTCGCTGAGGACATGAAAGCGCCCGCTGTGAAGCAGGAGGAAAGGAGAGTTCAAAACTTAATTCTACTGGCAGAACAGGTTGGAAGATGGCTATTTAATGTTATTGTTTTTTTTTTAAATCATCCTACAGGCTCTGACATGGTAGATAATTTTGAAAATGAGGTTTTGAAAAAATCCGTAAGACTTGAAAAAATCTGTGAGATTGCTCTATACGTCCGTATACCTGCAAAATGACGTAAAATCCTTATAACTTACAGACAATCTGTACAAGTTGACATGTTTACCATAGTACCTGACACTGTCAAACTTGTTTTTAGGAGTTCAAATTGGAGTGGGTAGGACATAGATCGGGGCGGGGGCTTCAACTCGCCTAGGGCACCAAAATGGCTAGAGCCAGCACTAACTGTGTTTCCATCAAGGCTTTAAGTGTCGCATTAAAAATGCAAAAAACAGTCAGATGAAAACAGCAAAATTCAAAAAAAAAAATCCTCAATTTGCTAAAATGTTTTTACGCTCGCTTGAGGTGGTTTTTGGGTTTTTCGAAAAACACTTAATGCGCAAAAGGAGAGATGGAAACTTTTGCAGAATAAGTTGTGACGTAGCGAACATTTACCTCACGTAGCTGATCAGCTGTTCCACGGTACCAGAGGTGGGACCAAGTCAGTGTTTTGCAAGTCTCAAGTAAGTCTCAAGTCTTCATCCCCAAGTCTCGAGTCAAGTCTCAAGCAAAGACAGTCAAGTCAAGTCTCAAGTCTGAAACTAGGAATTTCAAGTCCCCTCGAGTCTTTTTTTTTTTTTACCAATGTTGCAATTATATGTTAAATGTAAATAAAAGACCATGTGCCATTCGTGGCTGCAGTCGACCCGAAACTGGTACCGGTCCGGTACCAGTTTCGGGTCGACTGCAGCCGCGACTCGCAGCAGAACCAGTGTGGGAACCATGTTATTCACGCCTTGAAGTGTGCGCCATTCAGCGAAGAAAAGAACAGCAAGCTACTGACTGGCTTCAGAACCTCACCTGATCAGGTAGTAATTTCAGCCTATGTTACTGTTTTTCATCAGTGGACAAAAGACATTAGTGCTAAAGGCACAGGTATAACAGACTCTGT